CGATTTCTCATTTATTCCGAATTAGACGAACTTCATTATAAAAAAAATAAATCATGCTAGTTTCTGCATTTGTTGGGGAACATTTGTTAATCAATACGTAACATAAGAAATTACGAAAACAAATATAATATAAGTAATGTTAATTAAGAATCTGTTTAATTAAGATTCGATTCCTTAATAAAAATAATTGACAGTGATTTAAGGATGCTGTGACCGCGCAGATAACACGGAGTTTTGCGGACGACTGTAGACAGAGGAGTCGGAGAAAGAAGAAATAATTATTCCATGACCGAGTACGCGTATCGAGCGGGGGCCGGTGAGGTCACCGGGCGGTTATCAGGCCACAGGTCCAATCAATTACAATGTTTTGCATGTAGCCTACCTGTGCCGGAGTCGCGACGCGTCGGCCCGCTGCCGATGCCGGTCCCGTCGCGTCCCAAGCGCATCAGCGCAACTCCATCGGAAATCAATGAAATCGGCCAAAAACTACTCCGTTATTGATACGTCGCGGTTTAAATAGCACGCCGCCCTCCTCCCGTTCTCTCAATCAGGGTTAACCCACTGCTTACTACGTATCGCACGGATCAAGCTGCTGCGTACAAAACTACATCCCGAAATCCATCGTTTCTGATTTACTGCGATCCGGTTGAACATTCCTCATGTCTAACAATTACGAATAAACGTATAATGGGATTTTGATTAGGTACACGTTGCGAACGTTTTACTAAAGAGAAGCCAACTTATCGCGAGTTCCTCTAACCGTGAAAAATGATTACGAATTATCCGGACGTTACCAACGTGATTTAGATATCGTAACGACGCGTATGAACATTTAATTTCCATATTACAATTTTTATCTAATCGGACGCTGACGTTAGCGGTAGGGGAATTAAATTCATAAATAATTTTATTTACTTCGCTGTTGAGAATTACTTACAGCGAGCATTGCCAATCGTTTTAAAAACACGAACTGAACAGAAGTTTCGTCATTTGTGTTTTATGCTCGACATAGTGTGCATGTTTTTGAATATTTGAATATCTCAGATGCAAGATTTTCCATAGCCCCTTAATTATCCCGGAATCTGTTTAGATTTCTCGATAATCGAGCGAACTTAAAACCGTTCTGGCTAGTAGCTAGTAGCGAAGCGTGAGCTTGCAGTAACACACGGGGCGGCACGGGCCGCGTGTGCCACGGGTGCTTGGCCGTCGACTAACGTTTTGCCTTCTTTTTGCCCGGCCCCGATCGATACCGGCGACTTATTTTGGATTATTTTCAGCGCGGCCCGAGTGTGCGACGCCTTTTCTACGCGAGGAAAAAGAACAGAAAGGGAGAAAGAGAGAAAGAGAAAAAAGAAGGATGGGAATTCGCACGGACCGGTGCATGGCTTTCTGGTAAATTTTGCCGCGGCACCGGCCGCCCGTTCTCCAATGAGCACGACACGAAAAAACGTATTAGAGCGTGTAACCGGCAATTTTTGTTGCCCCGTCGCTGTCCGCGAAAAAACGAACAACGTAGAAAATATTTTATCTAAGTATACGAACAACTAATACAGGATGCGCGGTACCTGTCGCACGTATCGTCAATTCGATTCGTTCCCAATCAGACGTGAACACGTTCTCCTTATTGACACGTACCTGATAGTATTCTACGATAAATGTATTATTTCTTCTTCTACCGAGTTTCTGCATACTTTGCGTGAACACGTACGACTAATCGTGCGTTGGTTGCAGACCACCCTTCGGTTTCTACCACCAAACTGTGGCCACCGTTGCGACCACCCATTCGGCCGCCATCAGTGCCTTTATGTTTCGTTTATCAGGCTTAACATGCGACTTTTCCTACCTATTCGACCGGGCCATGATTACAGTTGCCACGGGATTAAGTCGGCGGCTGTTATTAAACCCGATCGCCAGAATTTGAAAATTTCCTTCCATTTCGTACATGCACTCTGTCTCATTATGACTGATATCGTAACATCATTCGGTAAAACAATTCCCTTCACACCTTTTCGATTTATTACTTCCTTTAATCTTATTATTTCCATTGCTGATCCCGCGCGATGCGTTTATAATATTATGCTAATGAACCTTTTTTATGTTTCATAATCATGCTCGTAAAAAGTTAATTCGAACGAGGGAGCAATGTTCCTTGAGACAAAAGATTGATAACCCACTCCTCTTTTTTTATCTGAATGCTAACGAATGACCGATAACAGCTGCGCACCACCGAAAGGGAATAATAACGATTCTAATTAGAACCACGGAGCGTGGCATCGCAGATTTCGCAAGACAAGGTTGCTAACGAATCAAATTAAGCTCCGCGTACTCTTTTTTTCGCATCCGTTAAAACGAGCGTGTTGGTCATCATTCCGGTTGAAAATTACATATCAAAACTGAAATTGTTTCTAAATGAATTTATGGATTTTTCCTCTTGTTTTTTTTTTTTCGACGTCAAGTTAATTAACGAAGCACCCGTCGATGCGTTGATTACAACGAAACGTTTTCAAATTTCAATTGTTGCACGAAAAGTCTCAATATTTACACTGATATTAAAATTCTAAATACGATTTGCTCCGATTAATTTAAACAATTATAATGCAGCGACAGAAAAAAAAAGAACAACTTTTCTTATGAAAATTGCTAAGGTCTATCGAGAAGCAAAAAAATGGAAAAGCTCTTTGAATATCCCGTAAAGAAGAAAATGCGCTCGTTAGCAGTGTTGGTAATACGTTGCAATGATTATCATGATGCATATGTATAAAGAGTTCGCTTCTAAAGCAAGCGTAAAGGTTTTACAGCTCGTAGATCCGCTCCTGCGAGAATCATTAGTTACTTTCTACCACGGGCATCGTGCAACCCGATCTCTCGTTGCACTGCTGTTGCGTTTCCACCCACCCTGGCATTTAAACCAGAAAAATAATATTGTTGACTTTTCGCATAAAGCTATACCGCTCGAAAACGTTCAATGCTGATCAGTATTAAGATTTTTCTAAGCATCGCTATAGGTGTTTGCATTGTTTCATTGCAAACTCCTCTGTGCAAAATATTTAAATACGAGCTTGTGTATCGCAAATTATAGATTATAAAAAAGAGTTATAAAAAAAATAGAGTTATAAAAAATTCGTGGAAAAACACAGTCGGTTGGTGAAATTAATGAAAGATTTTCGTGTAGAATCAATAAGTGCACAGCCAAGCGTGTGTGCAGGGTCGTGCGCTAAAAGAGAGCCAAGCCTCGGTGGGAAGGGGGGCCGGAAAGGGTGGCGGGCGGATCGATATTAAAATAGTGACCGAATTCCAGCGTGCCGCAACCTACCCTAACTCCCTCGGCTCACCCTTAAACTTGTCTCTCCCTCTTCTTTCCCGTTCGCGCTTCACCCCTGTTTCGACCACCCCTCCCAGCTGGCGTCGCGTTCCACGGGCGGTCCACACTGGAAAAGTTTCCTCGTAGCGGAGAGGAAGGAAAGGAAAACAGCTCCATAAAGTGGCAACCGAAATTTCGACGCGCCGAGTAAGGGAAAAAGAGAATATAGTGGGAAGGGCGGAGGGAGACAGAAGAGTCTCGACGACTCGGCTGAAAAATAACAGCCGGGGAAACTTTAAACCCGCGTACACTATCGTCCACAAGTATCTGAGCAGCGAAATGCGATTTTTCATTTTCTACTTTTAATGATACGTGAAAATCCTTTAAGCATTTCATTAACTGTTCGGACTCGATTTATTTTCAATGCTGTTTTGTACTGTCACTTGCACCGTGACATACGAGAGCAAGGAATTAAATATAATATAATCTGCCACATCATTAATTAATTATAATAATCAATGAACGTGTAGCGATTAAAATGTTGCTCGACAATTAATTTATCGGAAAAATTGTTTTACGCTACGTAACCAGAATAATTCTGCGTTCGCTGGCGATCAATTTAAACGCGTTTCAAAAACGAGCCACCGATATTCTGTTCTCGCCGGGTCCAATTACAGCGGTAGCTACAACAATTGTTACGGTATCGATATTGTTGCGATGAAAGTTGCCGGAACGATAGGCAACGAGCGCGAATTTCCTCATTTTTTTCGTTTTACTCCGACTAGAAACGAAATTCATACAACGTAGCAATCATCGCGCGCTCTCCCGTTAAATTACTCGAAAGTCTCCGCCGGATTATACTAACAAGGTGAGAAATGAGTTACGAGGAACTTCTGTTAGTTGTATCCTGTTTTCCGGTTGCGTTGCAATCCTTTTTCGAGCTTTTGTTAGCGAGAATTGCTCACAATACGGATAGAACGTGTAATAATCGTCTCGTGCATTTGCGGATTTACAAATTGAATGAGCAAGGAAATCAATATAAAAACCTGCATTAATATTAGAATATTTTTTAGTTGAATCAGTTTCAAACACTTGAAGCGGACGATTCATAGCTACAGGAGGAACGATGTGACCCGGCGGTGAATTCGACGTATTCACTGAACTTTCTATCAAATTTCATTGAACGCATCGCCACGCGCTGCGTGTCGGTAAAAATAAATGTATGGAACAAAAAAAAAAAAAATTCCACCGATATGAAATTTTAGCAAGAATGTTTAGAACGCCAGTGCTTCATGTGTTCGCGTGTAAAATTCAATGATTTTTAACTTGATAAGCTTCCCTTATGGAAGAGTACTTTCAAACCCATTCTACTAATAATTGTAAAAAAAAAACTATCGAGAACGTTTCATTCCGCGGGTTCAACGAATCCCACTCGAAATTCTATCAGAAAATTGTTCAACAATTTTGCGCCGCGGAAATTTTTGACAAACAATTAATACCGTCCGGGATTACGGTGATCGACGATGCGAATGCGACTCACGTTTCGCACGTTCACCGGGGCCAAGTTGACTCGAACTTTGACACGGAGTTGCCCCTAGCCGATTTCAAGATCGGCCCGAAATACCAAACTAAACTGTCGCGACGTAACTCCGCGTGTAACTGAAACGAACCGTTAGTTTCCCACCGCCGCCGTACATACCTTGGAACAATGTCGCGCTGAAACTGCCACGTAATTTGCAACTTCTGCGCCCGATATACAGCGTTTTGAGTATTTCTCCGTGGGTCCCCGTTGCCGTTACCGTCACCGCCACGGCCCGATCGCCGCCAAACTGTAACAATCACGAGCATTCTGTTAGCGAAACGAACGCGATTAACCCTTCAACGCCAATTCCGCTCTCCTTTCAGGCTGCGGTTAGCTGCGATTGAGCACCGATTAACGTGTAATTATCTATCAAGGAGTTATAACAGTTTTTGCCCTCGGCCTTTTCCAGCATTTTATTCAGAGCATCGTTGCATTAAATAAATTAAACGTTAAACCGGTTGATCGACAAACTGACAATGTGTATTTGAATTTTAATTATATACTACTATCGAGATTGTCTGCATTTCGTGATGCATATAAACTGTATATTTGTATACTGGGATCGGTTTGCCTATGAGTCTGAGGAAAAGAGAGCGGTCTCTTTTCTTGATGAAAGGCAGGCAAGTCGAGGAACGAAAGGGCGGTAGCTGTCGTCGATCCGCGAACCGAACGCCGCGATATCTGTCGAATCGATCGAGCGAATGGACACGAATGTTCGATAACGACAACGCTTGACGCGCTTTCCCGAGCTATAGAAAGGTCTCCGCTGGCGCGGTTGCTGCAAGTGTGCGTTAAAGAGGCCGTTTAACCTTTCACAAGGTATAAGCGGGTCGCATGCTCCAGGTTCCCACGCGACGGATGTTCCGCCGCGCCGCGAGGGTCGCGAACAGGTCGAAGGGCCTTTAAAACACCGCGCGAGACGAAAAGTTTCCCAGTTACCAATCTAGTTCAGACGATTATCAATTACAAAAACAGCGTTGGTAGATTTTTTTTTAAATAAATGTTTACGTAAAATAATTCGGTAATTAAAATGAACGCTGACTGTATAATTTTTTTATCGCCTAAACTCAGGATGACAGTTCGAGACATCATTTACCTCGACCCGTGCTACTTAATCTTTCCCTCTGACGCATTTGAAGAAGATTACTCGTTGAATATGTAAACTAGCCGTAGCAAAGTTGATTACATAGTTTCGTTTAGAAAGAGGACAGGGTTATCTCACCTTGATGAATTTATCAAAAAAAAAACAAAAAGTGAACACGACTTTTACATGGTCTGTTATCTGAAACAAAATGTTAGTCCTGACGCGATGATTTTTGTGAAATTTGTTACACCCGACCCTCCTCACATTTTTATCGGGGATCTGACATTTTATTGAAATTCAATAGTCGATATTGTGATATCTAGTAGGTTATTAAATACTGTTCGTAGCTATTCAATAATATTTGTTGATGTAAAGAACTGTCAACTGTTCGTGCTTCGAATATCACGATGTACAAGATTATCTCGATTTAAACTTCTCTTTGCTGGATTAGGTATTTGCATAATGAATCTTGAGAAGCTGAACTATATTAATCACCGCGGGATCAAGTGAACGTAGTAAAAGATCGTAGATCTTTACCAACTAGATACACTTTAACAACATTTTAACACGCTCTGAAACTTCTTAATTATACAGTTTCTCTCGTTGCAAATCTTTCTACGTTGTTTTGTTAATAATTGAGCCATCATGACTAATGCATTAATTATCTATTAAACTAAACGGGAAGTTTGAAGAAACGAATGAAAGTGAAGAGCTATGAGACGATTAAATTAAAAGTAAAACTATTTCACAGAAACTTGAATAAATCAGCCGAAAACAAGTGTTACACGCGGAGTTACATGTGCATTCATGAATTTACATATAGAAATATGCATGATTCAAAGAGAATTAACATAAATTCTCTAGGAGAAGGTCCGTTTATAAATCAGTATTAACAGTCCCTCACTAAATCTCGCGTTTCCAAACTATACGATTAATTCCGCGGCGTGTACGCTGTTCTCCACGTTCTGCGCGATAATTTCAGGCGGACGCGGGCCAAGCTGCATGCGATTACACTTCTACCATACTTTCTTGCAACAGGCAAAAGGTTAAACTCTGTGCTTACTCAACCTGCGGCTATACCGGCGATTAACTGCAAGTTTGAAAGTCCGCGGCCGCAAGATTTTATGGTACCCCGTGCTTCCATCGACGCGACGGACTTTCTCCAATGCTAACAAGAATATTCTGTTTCCCCAGTTAATTGGTTCCGAGATATTTTAATAACGCCAAGTGATAAAGTCGATTCAGGCCACGAAATCATTTCGCCGTCTAATAATAAAATTGAAAAGAGCACGACGTTACATTATAAACGTCGATAATATTGTCTAGCGAAATGAGATGAAAAACTCTCCCGAAGTAATTACGAAATTAATTAATGCACGGTTACATGTAAAACCGATTGGACGCGGTGATTAATTTATCTTTTGAACGGGATTTTTGACTCGACGTAACAAGATTAAATGGAGTCTGTATTAATAAGAAAATTACGCTTACGGCCACCGCCGACGGCGACGATTTAAGCAGATTGAGCCCCGACATGCATTTTGTAATTTCCACAAACCGATTTTCCAATAAACTAACGTATCGAAATTCCGATGCATTTTTCACCGCATAACAATGCTATCGACGATGTTATCGACCGTCCGTGAAGAACAGTTGAGAAAAATAGTCGAAAAGTGTCGGCCGGCAATTAATAACGAAGTTCGGCGGCCGGGCGGCGAGCCGGCGATGGAAATTTCATAATTACTGCAGAAGCCGAGGTAAAACCCGGACGCGGGGATCATCCGCAAAACAAGTAAAGGGTCATCGGCGCAATTTACGATCGGGGGCCCACGGTGAAATGCATTACCATAAAAACCGCTCTAATCACGGGTACACGGGATCAGCAGCCGCGCAAGCTGCCAGGGCTCTAGCCAACCTCGCGATATTATATTTTAAAGAGCCCGAGCGAGCCTCGGGTATGCGTACCTACTCCACTTTATCCGTGCCGCGGTGCCGTACCGTGCCGTACCGCGCCGTGTAATAACCTCCGACTTCCTGTTCCCGTAAAGAGTCAGCTTATACACGCGCTCATTCACTATGGATGAAAGTGAATCGATAATGATACGCACTCGACAAAAATGACGTCCCTGTCAGACATACTCGTAACCGTCTGCATCGGAAATTAATTCGTTTGTCGCAGACTCTAATATGGGTTAAACCCTGCGTCTCGCGAATGTTCATACGAGACGATATAAAATATCGATACGAAGCTCGAACGTTTTACAAACGAATCGATGGCAGGTTGATAGATAGAAGGATTAAGTAACGCGTAGGTTGGTATCGATTCCCTTGTAGTTTTTCGGCGCTGAATCAGCCCCTAAAACGTGGCCCGATGCACCCTAGATCGCGTGGGAACAGCGGCGGAGCGCGTCGAACGTACCGGCTGATAACCGTATTACAATTTAACGAGAAACCGGTGTCAGTTTTGTCGGCGCATAATGGTCGGCGATTCACCGCTTACAACGGTGCTTCGACTTGCTCGCCCAATACCAGGCGCGGAATCTACACCTATTGAAAATTTGCTGACTCTACCCTTCGCACGCAGAAATATAGTTTTCGAGTCAAAATATGTAAAGGAAAATAGAAGTGTTATGTTGGTGCAAAAATAATTGCGATCTTCCATGCTCTTACAAATAATCTAATCACTTTTGCAATTATTTTTTATATAAAAAAGTAATACTGTTATCATATTTGATATTTGTTGGGAAGGAAGAAAGTTGATCTAAAGTATGAAAGGGAAGAGAAAGATAAAGGGTTGAAGAGTAGTAAATCGTTCTGAATCTGAGCTCATACGATCCGAGTTAACGTAACAGGAGCAGCGTTATTTCAAATAGGGATCTGTGCCAACAGTTATCATAAGAAAAGCGACCACGCGAGCTGCGTTTCGAGAAGTAATGCTATAATTAGACCGAGGATTTTTCTGCAAAGGAAACTTTCATAGTGTTTGTTAAAGAGATCCGAGTCGAGATCCAAGGAGACATGGTACATAATATAAACGGCAATCTTAAAGCATTTAATAAATTGTCTTCTTATCTTTCGAGGTATCATTATTCTAACCACTGTTGTTCTAATTTTGTGCCCAACTTATTTGTAACTCTTCGTTTATCATAATGTTAAATCATCTGAACTTCCGTTAGAATTCTATTCACATCGCAGCTGATTTAATTTTATACTCAGTACTGAAAATAATTAATAATAAACGATGAAACAAAAATTTCTGTATTTTAAACTTCGAACAGAGTATCGTACGCAATCTGATGCACGTGCCTATGTGAAGTTTCACGCGTGTGTCTGCCACGCCTCGCGTAGAACCGTGGCCTCGTAATTTTGATATTCTTGCATGCTGCTTAAGGGGCACGATGAAAAGCGTGATTAGGAACGCATTTTAGCGAGACGTAACGCAATTATTGTTATTTCTTGCACGCGACCACCGCGTACGATCGTATCGGACGCGAAAGAAACGTCGAGTTACAGCAACTTTTATCAGTAATTATAAATTTGCATAACTTCTTTCGCGGCGCAGTGGCTCAGTGATTAACGCCTCGCGGCCTTTGTTACCGCCAGATCATTTCGACTCGAATAAATGCTTGCGTACCGATTACTGATAATCCTTCGACTTCTCGTCTGAATCTTTAATTTAATACATGAAAAAGTGGTAATACGAACCGACGCGATCTCCAGGCGAAATACGATAAAAATATATTGAAAACTGCACGGCCTTTGACTCGTCCGTACGAGCAGCTTTGTGATGCTAAACTAATTTCAAGACGCATTTAGTCATAGCAGCAAGAAGCTGCCACACAATTTTTTGATCGTTTGCTAAACCAAGGTGGGACTCGATCGAGGAAATGAGTAGTGAACGCGTGCGAGTGACGTAGGGACGCGATGGAGTCGATCTTGCAACAAATCTATTTCCATGGGACGCAAAAACGGAAGACACAGCTAGCCCCGGTAATGAACTAATCTCGCGAGCCTTGCCAGCGAACGAAGACGAGTAGCAGCATCGCCGGCTACTACAGAAGAACCGGAGTACAGTCTGTCTCAGAACGAACCGTGATCTTCCCCAAAGTAACGATTTCAATAAAAAAATACGATCCAAAGCATATGAGAACGTTGATTGTAGATATTTACATATTAAACCTGATAAGTATTCAGATAAATTGTATAGAAGTACTGTTTCATTTCTTCCATTACATCAATTCATGCTGTGAAATTCTGAATTCTATTTAATATAAATAAAAATCAGATTTGTCTTAAAATTATACTACAGAAATGAACTGTTACACAGATTTCATCATTCGATCACGATTCTGATATTATAAACGGTTTTATGAGAAAGACTGTACCTTTGCCGCGGCTTAATAACATGAGTTTTTCCCAGCCGGCTCTTGGTAAACGGTGAGAAGAGGAGAGAAAGGGACGCTGAAAGGGCAAGGAACCATCCTGGGAGTCCGGTACCCGCGTAAAAGTCCCTTTGAATTTTTGCTAATTACGTTCATTAATCCGTCCCGCGGCCCGCTCCCGTTCCTTCATCTTAACGGCAAGTATGATTTTAATTAATGGCCGTAATCAACGGGCAGATCCTTCAACCGGTCGTTGATCGATCGATCGGTATTGATTGAGTTCTCGAGACGTTTATCCGAGTCGAATCATTAGGTTAATCATTAAACTAGACAACGAAAGAGCATCGGGCTACTAGCACAGATTTTTATAACTTTCATTTTCACTAAATGATTTTGTAAGTACACCAACTTTTATTACTATGATCTGAATTTTGATTCCCTTGCGTCTATTTAAAACAATGATTATGTTTAAGTGTAATAAAAGTGACTGCTGGTAGAAATGGGATCGCTACTTGCGTCAATGTCGTGCAAAAAGTGGATCAATGGTAGCCTGTTAAATTCCTAGATCGAGATGATTTCGCGGCTTGATTCATTGCGGTTTCGATCTATTGATATCGACAGCGGCCGTTCTGATGGTATCAGTTCGCGTTGCAGTTTCATCATGCTTAATCACTCCTCTGGGCATTACGAATAATAATATGCAAATAGGCGAGCTTGATCTCGATCTTTATGGATACGTACAGTCACAGCCAATACCCCACGTACCCTTATCAAATGCCAATAAGAGTACAGCAAAAACACTTTATAACCCCTTATTGTTTGCCCCAATTAAACAAAAACGAAGTCTATATTAGGTAAAAGCTGTTTCACGTCGCAGTGAAATTGCCCGAGAATTTGGGGTTTACAAGTTGCATACAGACTTCTGATATCGACTGTAGAAGGTTAATAGCAAATGCGAGTACGTTAGTAATTAATCAAACTATGTAGTCACAAAAGATTACAGTAGCATGCAACAGTCTCGAACTTGACAGTGTTCTGTTACATTATAAATGAATTCTAGAATAGGAAAATCATCGTTTTATAATATGATACAATACACGTTTCGTCGTCAACTCGTGAGACGAGGATAAAATCAGAGTAAATTCATGAACAAAATATTTAATCGTTTAACCTACCTACCGATTACACTATTAACGATTTACATCTTAACTTCGTTTACTCCAGAAGGCAACTAATTTCATCACTGTACAAATTGGTACAATGCATAAAACATTTCACTTTATAAAATGTAATATTAAGGTCTACTTAACCTAACCAAATTAGTTTATAAAAAGAAAGAAGAACTCACCTCGTTCTTGTCACTGATTCGACTGTCACATGCCCAAACAACACAGTTCCTCGCTTTCTTGGATAACTATTGTCTAATTATATTATAATTTCACTACTGCATGACAAAATTATCTAATAAGTCACGTACTCTTATCACGACACTTAGAATGCTCACTCACACACTGCGGCGTACTTCAGACGCTTCCCGAGCGCGGGAATGACGAGTAACGTCAGTAAGCTACGAAGGGCAATCAGGAGCGAGCAGTAAACAGCGTAACAACTGCGTAAATACTACCTCCTACACCTCCCTCTCCCAGCGACGGTACGAAATCGTAAACACGTGCTCGAACAGCGGCATTATTACTGTCCGTACATTTAATGTAAAAAAGTTGCAATAATTAAAATTGTCTATGACTATTTAAATTTTGTACAGTACTGTACGTGAATATTTAATTGAAACGTTAATACCGGGTAATGTAGGTTATACATTGTTAATAATTGATCGTCAATTGTGACACGAAGAGGTTGTAATTATCGAATGAATTCGATGTTCCAATTACGAAAATGAACTTGTCAGTTTTCTTTGTTCTATGAGAACTTCAGCAACGCGCAAATACGATCTTATCTCGTGAAGAGAAAAATTATATTAACCATTTCTTATCACTTTGTAGCACAGTAATTATTAATATACAATACATTATGCATACGTTCAATGATTTGCATTGTTAAAATCGATCTGTCGACTTCATTCATAATCTATTTCTATTGGGCACACGACGCAGTATTCGTATTTTAATAAAGAGCAGAATTTTAATTGAGACAAGACTGATACGCACCTAGCTAATAACTGGTTCTTTCATCATTCCTTGTACACGAGAATTTCTCCGGCGGCGAGTTAATGACACTCGCGAGGGTGGCCAGATGACCGCGCGATGCGTGACCACGTGCCAACTTCCGCCGTGAGAGATTGCATTCGTGAGCGACGCGACCCTGTAAAAAGAGATCCACCGGATAAAAGGCCAGGGTAATTTGTGTCTTCGCGCCGGGTCAGCGATGATCGTACATTTCCAAGAACTCTTAATAGTCGATTTCTTTCGAGGAGTACAAACGTTTAAATTCAGTTATACAGAATTTATTTTAATTAAATTATATGTAATTTATTATTATGAACCGTATTTTTAAATTAAGGGTGAAAATATCACGTTGCATTTTTTGTTGAACGTATTCCTATAATCTCGCATTCGCTTCTATTATAAAATGTAATCAGTTTCTTTTTGAAATCTCAATGATACATGGAAATTTGACTAAATGAAACCATCGTGAGGATATTTGTTGAACCACTCGCCGGTAAATATTACATTTCACTTCCATCCTTGGGACAAAAACGTAGCGGTAATAAAACAGACATGAATTCACTGATTCGTAATTAGTTAGCAAAAAGCATCAGGATACCGCAATTATACAGTCCATTACGCGGCACGCAGATGATTTCTGAAGTTATCAACAGAAAACCGCATGTACGTACGGTAAACTCTGGGAGAAAGAGTTCCGTAGAGGTTTCTTGTCAAACACTGAGGATTAATAAATAAAATTGGAACACACGAAAAATACTTTTAGTAGCAATTACAACTCCACTAACTTGTAATCCGTAAGATATTTTAAAATAATAATAAAATGAGATATTGTTATTATCATTTAAAACCATGTCTGTGGAGGGGAATTGATTTTTAATAAATTAACTTGCTTTTATGGTGGGCAAGTGTAGCCGTGTAAGTGGGTTAGCGGTTCTGATTCGTCGACGTTTTCTCGAGAAATCCGTGCACGATATAAAATATCCTCCGACAGAGAGCCGCGCCGTAAAACTTTCTGATTCCTTTGATACGTCGAAAGGGAAGGAAACGCGGGTGATCGAGTGCATGCACACGGCGAAAACGCCCGTTTACATGCGACTCCACACGTTCTATGCTCTACACGTATCTATCTATCCATGGATACAGCGAAATGGATAAGATTTTTCATTTATGGTATACTCGCCCCGATACAACCCGGAGAGTAAACGTTTTATTTTAATCCACTCTAATGTGATTGACATTTACGAAAAATAAATCGAACTGACTCTACTTCGACTCGATCTTTAACGTTCGACATGTGTATTTGGTCGATTAAAAGCTGGAACGATCAAGTATTAAGGATGTATTGGCTATACAGTCAATCCCAAAAGTTTATGCACTTTAGAAACGCATTTTTTAAAAAGAAATCACACGTCGGAAGAACATTGCTAATAATAAACAACAAAAAAAAATTTTCGATTTTTCCGAGATTTTTCCAAGGGGTACCCCTTCAGATTTTGCGAAATTTTCGTTTTTTGCCAATAACTCCCAAACCGTTGGAGATACGGGAAAATTGCATCAGACCTTTTTTGTAGAGGACNAAAAACGAAAATTTCGCAAAATCTGAAGGGGTACCCCTTGGAAAAATCTCGGAAAAATCGAAAATTTTTTTTTGTTGTTTATTATTAGCAATGTTCTTCCGACGTGTGATTTCTTTTTAAAAAATGCGTTTCTAAAGTGCATAAACTTTTGGGATTGACTGTATAGCCAATACATCCTTAATTGAACATCGAGTGAAAACAAATTTCAATTACCTTACGGATTTGTAATTATTAAAAACGTATGAACGTCGCGTAATTTTTAAAAGCATTTCAACAGGTGTAATGCAATGTTGATATCAAAAATTTTAGATGAATTGTATTATTGTGAGTGAAGAATATATTTCCCAACGAACGATGGCCCGTTAATTCTGGTTCGAACGTGTGAATGAAATGCATTCACGACGGTCAAGACGGATGTTTGCTAATTAATTGGCAGCTCGGTTTTAAAAGCGGCGCGGCCGACTGGACGTCCCGATTAAATTTCACGTGCCGTTCACTACTGCAATTAATATGTCGATGAAAATATTAAGCGGAATTTATCGAGGTTTCCCGAGGTTCCGGATATCTGTTTAAAAGAGGGAATAAAAATGGTATAAATTGTTCGATTGGCCACGTTATCGGTTTATCCTGCCGATAAAAATTATGCGAAATAACCAATTCATTGATTTTTCAATTTTTTTTGTAAAAGAATTATATACGCGTGACGGGATATTTACATATTAATTTAACAAACGATACTTGGTTTCATTTATAACGTAGCTCGATGCAATATAAAATCACAGGAAGATTATTTTGTAAATTATATTGTAAAATAAAGGATTGTGGTTTTAAGGGGGAGCGTCGATTAGACGGTGTAGATCAACAATTTCTATGGAAACACACTGGCTTTTAGATGAAACGTTTTTATCGAAGCGAATAATCGTTTCGACAAGGGAAGCCGAAATCGGATCAGGCTTAATCGAGCGCACCGTGCCCCTATCTCTTCTAACAAGTTCCATTGTAACGTTTAATATTTTCCGCCGATATACCGTGAAAATATTTTCTCGGCAGCGTCGCCTCGCCTCGCGTCGCGCTATATTTTATTACCCGGCTGGACCGAGGCGCTCCGCGACGGTGCAACGGCTCCCCGTGGCAATAAACTAGAAACGTAACACCGAATGGACATCGTTTACAACGAGATGACACATCGCAGGATTTCCTATCTGCTTATTTTGATTTATTACTTTCAGCCCCGTTACGTTAATTCGCTTGTCCACCCAGCCAACCCTGGCCGTGTTGTGCCTTGAACGATTCACGGAGGCGTTTGACGATCGGTTGACGGGCCAGGAAATTGGTTCCGCGATAAAAGGAGGAAGCCGATTGTGAACCGCAATGCGTGCTTCGAGAATACAAGATCGAAAATGCGAGGTATTAAAAGATTATTAAATGATTCGTACTGCCTTTCTAGTTTCTCGAATTTAGCAGGAATTCATAAGGATTTAAGTGGGATGAAAGGAACGGGGGAGACGCTCGATGGCGAGTCGTGCGTGCACGCGTGAGTGCGTGAGTCGGTTCTCGTGTCACGCAGCTTGAAGCTGGAGAACCGAGGAAGAACCGGAGAAGATCGTATCTGCTCGAACTGGCCTTGCCATTAGTGTCACGAGAATAGAAAGGGCTTACACTAAGGCTCAAAAGTTTCCTACCATCAGAAGAATAATTGATCTTGTTCTTAATTACATATGTGAATGAATCTATGTAGATGTAATTAAAAATGTCCATTCGTTATATAGAAAACTTGTTGAATGGTTTTGTACAATGCAAACATGATTAATCAATGGAATAAAAAATTCATATGAAGCGTTTTTGGTATTATAAATGTTCCCATACTTTGCCAATGAAAAAATTAAAACCGAAACGTATCTAATAATTAACTGATGTCAATAAAATAAATCACATGAATAATTGTGTACATAGGCCTCTATTTTTTTTTTTTAAATCTACAACGTTGATGGTTGAAAGACAATTTAAAGTTTACACGGTCGTAGGGAATAGTTGGTGTAAAAAGCGACGATCGCAAACGATTTCATCGTCGTGCAGCCGCCATCGCGTTCGTCGAACGAGCACGACGACGACGCGGCACGGCACGGCACGGCACTCGAGAGAGCAACGCTTTAAAAGTCTAATTATTTCCAGATCTGTGGACTGCTCGCTGTTCCAATAAAATCTTCCGAGCGTATCACTCGGGTTTATGCCGCGTGTGATGCACGCGTGGAACAACAGTAAGGCCGCGGGTATTAATTAGAATTTCAATTAACCGCCTCGTAATGCCGCGCTCCATCGATCCGCGTGGATATCCGTTTTCTGGAGAACAGGACACTCGTCGCCTGGATGCGTTTCACAATTCCGTAATTATTCAAGAGAATCATATTTAATTATCATTTGAAAATGTGAACTGTTAATCGATTATCATCAATATAATCCTAAATTGCTTTACGCGGATGATGGAAATTTATAAATGAAAATTAGACATTTTAAATAAATTTTATAAAAATGTTTCACATTTTTAGCAAAATTGTTTAACTATTTATTATATAAAAATACGACACGTTTACAAATGATAATTCGCGAAACAGTACTTTTAAGAACTATGATTTCGTATCAGCGAGTTGAGAAAAAGTGGTGGCAATAAAACGGTGAGACTGCGAGTGAAGTTTCGCCGTCTGATCGCAGACCGTACGTCTGGTCGTTCGAAACTTTATGAGCGTGAGTCCTCGCTCAGACATTAGCCTATAAAAATTGCAGACTCGTCCTTGTTTGCCCGGGACCGCGCGTAATTACTTAGCGTCTATCGACGCGACGCGTTCGTTTCGGAAAATCTTGGATGAACAATCTAATTGACGCGATCGAACCCGAAAATATCGTCCATTCGATCATCCTATTCGCGTCTCCGTTTCGTTACTCGAATGTCAGACCTTGTTGACGTGTGACAGTTATTCTAATATGTATCTACGAACTATTATCAGAACTCGTATTACATTCATTACGCTTGTTACAGACGTTAAATGGAGAACATTTGTAGTGGCAACAGGGAGATAGCAGCACCTACAGAAGCTGCAAGCATCGGGTATACTGTTTTATCCGACCGCCGAATCTGTTTACACATTTACTTGAAAAAGAGTCTCGAGACGATGCTCGAATTAATTCCGCATTAGGCTCGTCCGGAGTCTATCAAAGTGAATACCATTTGAGATATTCGAAAACTGTCCGATTAACGATCCGAAAGTGCCTTCGGCTACGTTCCGAAATACCACGGGTGCATTCTTACCGTGTCCCGTGTTTCGGCTACAACGGTTAGTTTCTCTCACGACCCGTGGAAAACTTCTGAGAGGACTACGTCGAGTTGTCCGCCCGCGCCGGCACGATTTGCATCCTACCGTCGTGAATGGTAATTAGGGTCGAAGCGTAAACCTTGATTAGAATTACAATCGTAAACGGCGACCGTTCGATCCTCCGTTATTGCCTGAAGCTGTGCGGCAACTTGCCGATTCGAGTACTTTGCATGATTACCCCTAATGAATTT